AAAATTATTAATAATTAAAATTATGCTTTATATAATTTTCTTCCGCTATTTCAAACACCAGTCGGCATAGATCTTTCGTTATAAGACCAAAAAAGTTGTCTCTACATCAGTTATATGCATATTTGATTTTTCTTCGATTTTTTTTTTCTACTACTTTATAATCTGTTTTTTTATAAATATTGAGCACTCTATTTTGTAGAATACATTTTAAAATTGTTTAAATTTATATATACATACATTTATATTATATATATATATATATATATATATATATATATATATATATATATATATATATATATATATATATATATATATATATATATATATATATATATATATATATATATATATATATATATAAATATATATACAGTATGTAAAAAAAGTCACCCTCTGATAATTTTTCAATAAAAACAATTTTTTTTTATGCTTAAATTTAGATTTTTGATCTTAATTTTTTTTTAAACATTAAATTTATATTAAAAAAACATTTTTATAACAAGATATTAATATTCTTAGTCTTAAAACAAAAATTATCCACTAAATTAGAAAAAGTGTAAGTCATAAAATCACCCTCTAGTCATTTTTTAACTTTTCTGTTGTATAACTTAGAAAATTGTAAAAAAAAAATGCCAAAAACAAACAAATTTAATTGATAAAAGTTATTCTAACTTATTTTTTTAGAAAAGCTTGTTTTCTTTTTAGGTTCATAATAAAAAAATTATAGTAAAAAGATGTGAAATTCATGAATCAGTAAAAGAGCTGATCTTGGGACACTATAAAAGTGGAAAAGGGTATAAAATTATTTCTAAAATAGTAAATGTTAAACCTAATAGTGTAAAAAATATCATTTAAAAATATAAAAAATTGGTACCATAAAAAAAATACCAAAAAAAGGACGCCCAGCTAAGACAACTTTATGCATTGATAGAGAAATTAATCGGAAAGTTGAACAAGATTGAGGATTATCTGCACCAAAGCTTGCAAAAGATTTAGAAAAAGGTAATTGTATAACTGTAAATTCTCAAACTGTTCGCAATCGGTTGAAAAATCAAAGTTTTTTAGGTAGAGTTGCTCCAAAAAAGCCCTTTTTGAGTAAAAAGAATCAAAAAAAAAAGATTGGCTTAGGCAAAGAAACATTCAAATTGGACTAGTAACCAATGGCGTAGAGTTTTATGGCCCAATCAAACAAAAATATGTTTATTTGGTTCTAATGGTATCATACGCAAATGGAGAAAGAATGGTGAACGCTTAAACCCTAAATGCATGAGACCAACTGTCAAACATGGAGGAGGTAACATTAAGCTTTATTATAAAATTTTCAATATTATATATATTTTTAACTTGTTTTTTCCTATTTTCATAGGTCCAATGATGGTTTGGGGCTTCTTTGCTTGGAGTGGTGTTGGCGAACTTGAATTCTTTGATGGAATAATGACAAACGAGGTTTAAACTTAATTTTATTTTTCAACAAGATGGAGATCCTAAACAAACATCAAAGTTAGCTACTTTGTAGTTAAAAAAAACAGTATTAAGACGTTAGATCAGGCTTCTCAGTCACGAGACCTAAATCCGATTGAAAATTTATGGAATCTTTTTAAAATTAAAGTAGCTGATCAAAAACCATCCAGTTTGTCACAATTAAAAGCGATTCTTATTGAAGAGTGGGAAAAATTTGACCCACAATGGCTTAAAACCTTAGTAAATTTAATGCCCAAAAGATGTCTTGCAGTCATTAAGGTAAAAGGCAAATAGAATATAAATTTTATATCAGCAAATAATTATTTATACACTTTTTTGATTACAAAAAAGTGCATAAATAATTATTTTGCTGACATCCTTTTTTGACCTACACTTTTTCTAATTTAGTGGACAAATTTTGTTTTAAGTATAAGAATAATATTTTCTTGTTATGAATATGTTTTTTAAATATAAATTCAATATTTAAAAAAAAATTAAGGTCAAAAATCTAAATTTAAGCATAAAAAAAATTGTTTTTATTGAAAAATCATCAGGGGGGAATTGACTTATTTGACATACTGTATATATATATATATATATATATATATATATATATATATATATATATATATATATATATATATATATATATATATATATATATATATATATATATATATATATATATATATATATATATATATATATATATATATATATATATATATATATATATATATATATATATATATAGCCCTTCCGCCAGAATGGAGGCGAAAAATTTTATCCCAATCTTAAAATTACGATTTTAGAAAAGCCCCGCAATATATAGCTAAAAAGAAATCAAAATATGAATTAAAAAACCTAACTGTTTTAACATTATACAAATTATTAAACAAACCCATCAAAAAACTTAAATATAAATTTAATAATTGGAAATCCATGTTTGATAGCATGGACCTATAATTATATTATAACCTAAACCATACTTATAACCTTATAACCTAATAACCTAAACCATATAACTTTCCAAACAATATTTCCGCAATATATTTCCGCAATATTTTCGCAATATATTTCCGCAATATATTTCGCAATATATTTCGCAATATATTCGCAATATATTAATATATAATATATTCGCAATATATTTCGCAATATATTCGCAATATATTTCGCAATATATTTCCGCAATATATTTCCGCAATATTTCCGCAATATATAGCTAAAAAGAAATCAAAATATGAATTAAAAAACCTAACTGTTTTAACATTATACAAATTATTAAACAAACCCATCAAAAAACTTGAATATAAATTTAATAATTGGAAATCCATGTTTGATAGCATGGACCTATAATTATATTATAACCTAAACCATACTTATAACCTTATAACCTAATAACCTAAACCATATAACTAACCAAACTTATAACTTATAACCTAAACCATACTGATTGGGAACAATTTTTTGTCAACATTTATAAGAGAAACACTAATAATAAAGCGAGCGAAATTCGATTCAAAGCAGCACATTTTATATTACCAACAAACGATAAGATGTTTGAAATAAAAGTAAGAAAAGATCAGCTATGCCCTCAATGCAAAACAAAAGTTGAAACGACTGCTCACATGATCTTTGAATGTGAAAAAGTGCAACCTTTAATTTTTTATCTTTTAGACATTCTAGATTAACTCTACCCTTTAGAATACCCTCATATTAACAGTTTGAAATTTATTTTATTCGGCTATGAAAAAAGAGCCAAACAAAGAGTTTTTGGGAATATTTTATTGGATGTTTTGCTAACGGAAATTTTTTATAATAGAATGAAGAGCCACTTCGATAATAAGGTTTTTACAAACAAATATCTTTTAAAAAAATTGAAAGCAAAAATTGAAAAAGTTTTAAAAAACGAGTTACTAATAATATTTAAACAAAATAAACAAGAAATACACAAGGAGGAAATAAAAAATATTTTTTGCAACGGAAGCTTGAGATTGGTTGCTGATATATGCAACTATTTTTGAATAACATTTTAGACTTTTTTAGAAACTTTTTATATAAAATACTTTTAATTTTTTTTTAACTAATTGTATATATTGGATGAATGTAATTCTTTCATATATGAAATGATAACAGAGAATTAATGATTAGCTAAATATTTGATAAAAACTAAAGAAATAACTTTTTTCAGATAAGAAAAACACGTGACTAAACAGTTTCAATTTTTCCTTTTCGAAACAATTTTTCTTTTTATTCTCTTTCGATTTTATTTTTTGTGTTTTTTATATTTGGTTTTTTATGGTGATTTTATTGTAATGGGTCTAAGACATCTTTGTAACGGGGGTATATATTTACGAAATCTTGTAACTTTTATTTTTTTTTTACGGTGTCAGTATGGCAATTAGCCGGATGACAATAAACTACAATACATAAATTTTATATCAGCAAAATAATTATTTATACACTTTTTTGATTACAAAAAAGTGTATAAATAATTATTTTGCTGATATCCTTTTTTGACCTACACTTTTTCTAATTTAGTGGACAAATTTTGTTTTAAGTATAAGAATAATATTTTCTTGTTATAAATATGTTTTTTAAATATAAATTCAATATTTAAAAAAAAATTAAGGTCAAATATCTAAATTTAAGCATAAAAAAAATTGTTTTTATTGAAAAATCATCAGGGGGGGATTGACTTATTTGACATACTGTATATATATATATATATATATATATTATATATATATATATATATATATATATATATATATATATATATATATATATATATATATATATATATATATATATATATATATATATATATATATATATATATATATATATATATATATATATATATATATATATATATATATATATATATATATATACATATGGGCAATTCCATAAAAACTTTCTCAAAGCTTAAAATATAATATACAATAATAATATAATGATATGAAAATATTATATTTTAAATAATTATAATTTATAATTTTTGAAAAACAATTTTTTCAAAGTTCAAAGAGCAAATAATACGTTATTGCATTTGTGATATTAGGCGCCGTGTAATTTAAATATTAAGTCCAATGATAGCATACCTAAGCCAACATGCGCAACTGGTAAATATGCCATCATAGGAAAAAGGCACCATTTTCACTTAAACTTGCTGTGCCTGTCTTGTTCAAAAGAAACAGTTAAAGTAAATGTTCTAATTAATGCACTAAAGATGTAGATGAAATGCAAACAGTTTCTTTTTTTTACGTTTAATAATAAAATCATAATCTTAAATATATAAAATGATTAAAATTACTTCATCATGTTCCAAAAATAATTTCTGTCAATTACGAAAACAATATTTGTGCAAAAGTTACAAACTCTCATATAAATTATACTTAAGCCAATATAAAAATATAGGTCTAATCAGTTTTTTATTTAAACTAATATTTATGGAAATATGACCAGTATGCCATTATAAGCGCTATGTCATCATAGGCTCCTTTCCCCTATTTAATTTATTTTCTTACCATTTCATTTTTGATAATGGTTACTTCATTTTTGAGAATGGTCGTTTCATGCTCGTTTAACATAATTTTATTTTCAAGTGCAGCAATTTTTGATATTGACATAGAAAAATGGTTTTGTGTTGAAGAATTGACATGAGTATCTTGTTCTTTTCTCATTCC